CAGTCCTGGTGGTCTCAGTCCTGGTCTCAGTCCCGGTCTCAGTCCCGGTCTCAGTCCCGGTCTCAGTCCCGGTCTCAGTCCCAGTCTCAATCCTGGTCCCGGTCTCAGATCCTGGTCTCAGTCCTGATCACCCAACAGTGTACGCGGGTGCACCTCCAGGCCCGTCCCAACACTCAGTCCTGATTTAGTCCTGTTTTAGTCCTGTTTTGGTCCTGGTTTAGTCCTGGTTCAGTCAAAAGTCCGGCATCTCAGTTTAAATCATGTAAATCACGTTATCCGTTTTTTCCCCCCCCCATTTTTCATTTAAACACAAAATCGAAAACTGAAAAAACAAATCATTATCCATTTTTTCATTTTGGTTTTGGAGACAAATAATGAAGAAAATTTTAGCTTTTTTCATTTTCTTATTTTTGGTTTTATTTTGACAAAACGAATGAACGAATGATACACGGATTTTCCTCACTCACCTTACGCATTCTGAGCATCCAAATTTAGAGCTTTACGCAACTTTCAAAGACCAGTGTGAAGTTTTTGCGTCACGGTAAACAACAACTGGCATGCTAACGTGCACTTCCTGGTCATTGTGTCCTACCCGACAATAAAACTATCTATAATTAAACGCTGACAGCACAGGAGAGATAATCTAATAATCTAAACTAAGTACAGAGAAGTGGGCGGAGATAGGGGGTAGGTGAAAACAGGAAGTGCTCGAGCCTGAAATCCAGAATAATACAAGATTACCCACACATGCAGGGATGAATCAAAATATGCAAAATGCTCATTAAAGTTCATTTGGAATAATATGTCTCCTTGAACAGACTAAAGTCATTACAGTCGTATTTAAATGCTGAAAGTTTTTAAGTTCAACCTTCAACATAGTATACTGCATAATGCTTTCTGGACAAATGGTTGTCATGGTCACCGTTAGGACATTTCTACAATAGCAATAAATGTTGTACAGCATGTTCTCAAATGATGATTAGCGAAGAGCAGTTAGAAGTTAGTGTGTAGCAGAATGGTAAGGTTTCACACTATAAAGCCATTTTCTTATTGTCTCTTTCCTTCGCAGTTAAAGGTTTTATGAAGGATTTTTTTTCAGTTTCAAATTGTAAATGGAAGTTCAAAGTAGCATTACAGAGATGCAGCAGCCTTGTAATTATGACGACTGAAAAAAAAAAGAATGAAAATCCATTAACTGTGGATGTGGTTTGGCCAGCTAAACATCAGCCAATAGACAACGACGCTACCTCTTCATCTACTGGCTGTGAGGTTGTCAATCAAACTGGGATTACGTGATTTACGTACGCCTCACACGCATTCCATATACTCAAGATGCTGTTTACTTGACCAGTGCAGTAGTTCTTCGCAGCTTTTTCGAACTGTAGCTTCCTTGTAGTTCGCACAAAGTTTGATGCAATGGCAGACAAGAATCAACGACCAGTTCAGCGCAAAAAGAAAAAGTCTGTTTTTGAGGTCGGTGAAAGAAGAAGAGAAGGGGAAATGGAGCAAAGACAAACTAAGGTGATTCTTAGAGATCCGTGCACTGAAGCAGACGAAGGGTCTAAAGACTGACGTGTTGGTCGCTAAATTACTTTTGGACAGTTCACTTCAACAGCGATTCGTTCAGCAATTCTGAGTGCACACCGGTTGTAAACAAACATGATTTCTAGCGTAAGGAGGAGGCGGGAGGAGACGTTTCTACTTAGGGAGCTGTGGAGGAGGCGAAGTCAGGTCACGCATGCGCAACATCTGAAAAAGGACAATCGATGTATTTCTCTTTCCTTGGAAAATCCTCTAAACCAGAGGTGTCCAAACTTTTTTTTTACGAAGGGCCCTTATCTAAACACAGATGAAGCAGAGGGTTGATCGGGGGCTGTAGACTGGAGCTCAGTACAGGGAATCACTGAAATATGTGCATGTTTAACACGTTAGAATGAGCCATCCGTATTTATTCATGCTAAGATCCCTAAAACCACACACTAAATATTAAATATTTGCTTTATCAAGGCAGATTTTCAAAAAACTTGCAGTAAAAAGTTATTTTTTAATTGACACAAGGTAATTTGGGCCAATTCACCTGGAAGCCTGAGGGCCAAGAAAAATTTGTCTGAGGGCTGCATTTGGCCCACGGACCATAGTTTGGACATGACTGTTCTAAACCATTGTTTCCCAAAGGGTCGTCTTGTCACGATCTGCATGTAGGTTCAAATGTTAAGACATGTTTTCTATCATTTCTAATCTTTTTGTAATTATTTTATCGACCATTTTGTTCTAATCTTGCTGCTTCAATTGAATGTTGAAAAGAAACAGAAATTTTCTATATTTAATGTCCAAATAGGCGACTTCTGGATCCTTTTATTGCTGCTTCAATGACTGTTTTTCATTGTTTAAAACTTGAGTAATACTAATTGTTCAGAGACACGATCACTCAGTCAACAATAAAATATCCTCATTAATGTTCAATAATGGTCAAATCCACCTTTATTTTGTGATTCACAAATAATGTCTATTGACTTGGGTCGTGAAGGTTTGTGACTTTTAAAATATGGGTCCAGAGGAAAAAAAAAAGATTGGGAAACACTGATCTATACAACCTTTAATGTCCCTGTACCTGATGTTTTTTTTTTCCATATTTGACATGTTGTATAAGGTCAAAAGGTCAAAATATGTCTGCTGTCTGCATCTAATTAGGGCTGCAACAACTTAAGTGATTAATCACACAATAACTGACTACTGAAATAATCACCAACTACAAACAAATTTTGCATTTTTGATGAACTTTGGGTCAAAAACTGTTGTCAAAATCTGACATTCCCTTTTGCTGTCTACAAAAAAAACTAACTCAACTAACAAATCAAATAATCAGCAAAATAATCATCAGTCACAACCATGCAATGTCACAAAATGTATGTTAGCATGCTAGTTGTGGTAGTGGTGGTGATAACTTTGGACTGCTAGTTTTGTTTGTCATGTTTTTAAAGCTCAAACTCGTGTGAATGAAACAAAACACAACTCCTGCTACATTTTTTGATAAGAAAACAACATTCCACAAATTTATAACGATAAATCTAACCTGCTAGTCAATATTTCCCCCTTGCAATACTGTCTTTTTATCCCTAAAATTCCATCACAACAAGACGCCACAAAATTATAGATTCTCCCACTGCAATTTTCAACAAATTTGTCATCATTTTTGTCCATGCAAAGGTACACCGAGTATACTTATTCTTTCCAGGTACTATTAAGTCCACGTGTACATGCTGAGATAAACTGAGGGTCCGTTTGGGTCTGAATAAAAAATATCGAATCCTTCTTCTGTGGAGTAACAAAAGCAAGACGAGCACCGCCCAAACATGCCTGTCCTTTGTCCGTATTAGTCTCATTGTTTGTGGCTTGAAAAGATAAGAGGAGTCACAAAAGTGCTCTTGTTCCATAGAGGATCTTAGTCCCCACGGATCTGCTTTGTGCTCAGGGCTGTGGGCAGATGAATGGTGAATGGTGATGCAAGAGCAGAGAGTCCCACTGAGTCTGTTCTGAAAGGCTGAAAAGGTGTGGTGCCGATATACTGTGTGACCCAAGAACTGCTCAGATACTCACAGGGCAGAGCACAGACAACAGAGTGTTACAAAAGGCTTCTGTTGTTTTGATTTTGTTCTATTTCTGTCTTATAAGGCTTTACACAGACTTTTATTTGTAGTATTGTCTGGCATTTGACATTGTAGTCTTAAAACATACGCATTCATAATTCATTTGAGACCCTGTTTGTGACATTAAAATGCTTGAAAATGTGCAAAGTGTCCTCAAGGAGTATCGCAGTTTAATCAGGCTAACAACAAGTGCTGCGAGCTGGTGGCATGTTAAGTGACCAGCCCGAACCACACGCTCTGATTAAACTTTACAAAGATGAGTGGATATAGAGCTGTGTCCTGTCTTCCCCATTTCAGAGGGGGAGATTAATAAAAATAATAATTTGTTTATAAAGCACTTTTCAAAACAAGTTTTACAAAGTGCTCTACAAGCAACAAAGAACAATAAAAATAGCATCCAGAAAGATGATGATGCAAAAATGCAATTAATTATAATAAATAAGTTAATAAAATAGAATAAAAATAAATAAGGAATAAAATGTTTAGTTTTAAGAAGTGATTTAAAAGATGATACTGATGGTGTGAGCATTATTTCCTCAGCTGAGGCGCCCAGACTGAAAAGACTCCATCAGCCTTTGTCCGGAGCCTGGACTTTGGAAGAGCCACAGGGACCTGCTTGAGGATCTGCAGCTGCAGGAGGCTCGTACGGGGTTAAAAGTTCTGAAATGTAACTTGGTGCAAGGCTTAGGCAACGTTTACACATAGCCACGTATGTTGAGAAATGAATATTTCCCTCCCTCCATTTTCCAAAATAACATTGTACAGACAGTACTGTTTTCAAAAACGTTTTTGTTTACATCGACCCACATAAATGCTCCATCGAGCGGCGTCATAACTACACCAAGCCTCTGGGCGGCGCCTGGATTAGATTCAAACCTGTAGCATTTATTTTATTAGAGTTGTAAATATTACTCAAAAATACCTTGAAAAATGCGCATTACTGAGCCGGCTCCCCTCTCCACAGATATTTTAAAGAAGTGGCAAAATTGCTGCCCTCTTGTCATGGATATGATCCATCAGCTGTGTGCAAATGCAAACACATGAAAAGTGTTTGCACTTTTCTTCTGCTCTGAATGCTCCATCATCATCATCATAGCAAAAGGGAAACATTGGTCGCACTTTTGGCACATCAGCTCCTAAAATTCAGTTTATTTCACTTTACACGCAAACACAAAACCGGAGTTTTCCAGAATCTCCACTCGGAGCCAGAGTTTTTAAAAAGATTTGTTTTCAGAGGCAAATTTGCCGTTTGCTTGTAAAAGATGGAAACAAACGAAGGGAAATGTCTCAGTTTTTAAAACATACCGATAAGTTCCAATAAGCACCGGGCTGTGTTTCTGAGCGCAGACTTACCTTCATACTGCGGGTGCGGGTGAGGGCGAGAGGGGTAGGGGACATAGCTGATGAGCACTGGCATGTCGAGGCCTTGTCGTACCCATTCCACCACATAGGGGGAGCCAGAGGAGAGGGCAGGGCGAGAGGGAGGGGGCACACACTCCAGCTCCACGGTCCCGCCTGCTTTACCCACCACCACCGAGTGTACACACGGGACCAGCACTGAGGACACAGACAATAATTACACAATATTTGATACTGAGAGATGCCCATAATGACCTCCATTAAAGCTCCTGTATTACACTAAACTGACTCAGGAGCTTTAAGACATGTTATAATGCTGTTACCTCATCAAAAACTTACCTGGAGTTTGTTTTATTTCATTCACACATGTATTTTCTGTTTGAGAGAAAAACTCAGCTTAAATATTTGTGGATTTGTGTCTTAAACATGTGTGAATGAAACACGTGAATGAAACAAACAGGTACATTTTTATTGAGGAAACAACATTATAACATCAGAAGATCAGAAAATAGTGTAAAATTGGTCTTTTAAGTATGGTTTGCCTAAGGTGACCAGATTTTCAAAATAAAACTGGGACATCCCTGGTTTGAATTGGTTGGTAATAATAAAATTGTGAAATGAGTGCGTAATTAAGGAAAATTGTTCAGCATTTGGCACTAATGTGAGTCAGTATATTCACATTATCTTTGTGTGAATAGCAGCTTTTCTGTATTTTACTGAAACAAATGACAATTTATGCCTCATTACTGTTGGCAGGGATCAAATTGGTCAAAAATAGAGACACCTGGGACGTTTCTTGTATAAAACTGGGATGTGTGAAAAATCCTTCAGTCGTCCAGGTAGAATCCGTGGCAAAGGAGAAATTCAGTTTGTCGACTGGACAAAAGTTAGTTTGGTCGAATACATTTCGCATCTCATCCAAGCTGCTTCTTCAGTTCTGGTCAGATGGTGGTGGACACTTCCTTATATCTGCAGGGAGGAGCTAACTACACTGAAACTAACACATCTGCTTGTTTAGAGTTTCTGTTTGTTAGCTTGACCTATTGAACCGCAAAGAGTGTGGGCTCTTATTAGCAGAACCATTCAGGGTCATAATGGAGCTTTCACACCTCTGGCCCTGACCTGCCTACAGCTGTTGTTCTCTTGTTTGTTTAGATTTATGTTTGAGGATGGAGTTGTAAATAGGAGACAGATGGTGTCTGAGGCCCCCATTTCTGTTTAGAGAAGGATTCTCTTTCTTAACAAAAATCACTTCTTTAACTCCCCTCTCAAACCAGTTCTTTTCTCTGGCTAAGATCTGCACTTCACTATCCTCAAAGTGAGTGGCCTGTGGCTTTTAGATGGAGATGTACAGCAGACTGAGGTCCTGTGCTGCTCTCTTGTCTGTGTTGGTTCATCCTCTTGTGAAGTGGTTGTTTAGTTTCTCCAGTGTAGCGTTCACTGCAGTCTTCACTACACTGAATGGAGTAGACCACATTGCTTTGTTTCTCCTTGGACAAATCACTGGTTTTAGATAAATCTCCTGGGACAGGGGACACAGGGCTCAAAACAGTGACTGTCCCAGGTAAATAGGGATGTCTGGTTGCCCTGGAGGTGCTACCTCCAAAAAGTTACATACTGTACCTTAAAGTAACCTAACATATTGTGTTACTGTCTCTGATGTACATTTTAACTCTAAGGCTACATTCAGACTGCAGCCTGAAGTGGTCCCTATGTGACCTGTATCTGATCTGTTAATGACAATCTAAATGACACAGATCTGATTTTTTCAAATGCGACCCAGGCCACTTGGATATGTGCTCCTAAAACCGATACATAACCGACTTTTTTACATGCAACTTCAGTTTGATAATCCCACCTACACGTCAGGCTCGGAGTCTCGTCAGTGGAGGGAAAGTGAGGTTAGAGAGTTGATCAATATTTGGGGAGATCGCTGTATTCAGGACAAATTGTTTCTCCGAACCGGTTGTTTTTCGAAATCTTTGCCAAAGAAATGGCCGAGCGCAGCTGCAGGAGGTCCTGGCTCCAGTGTCAATTAAAAAAAAAGAGCCTCCCAGCCAAATACAAGGAGGCTAAAAACTCAAACAAACAAAGCTTAAAGTTCACATTGGAGATCACATACAAGTCGGATTTAATTGGAAATGTGAACGACCTCACAAAAAAATCGGATTTGACAAAAAAATCGAAATTGAACATTAAGACCTGCAGTCTGAACGTAGAGTGTAATAGAAAAAATAAATAAATAAAATAATAAAAGTATATTTGTGTTTTTAAATGTATTTTCAAATTGACTTCATAAGCTCCATCTGTCATTTCAAAACTGACCATGATAAATTACCTTATACTAGGGTAGTTACCTGGGACAGTCACTGTTTTGAGCTCCGTGTCCACTGTCCCAGCAGATTTATCCAAAACCAGTGATTTGTCCCAGTTTTATACAAGAAGTATCCCAGTTGTCCCTGTTTTTGACCAGTCTGATCCACACCAACAGTAAAGAGAAGTATATATTGTGATTTGTTTAGCTAAAATACAGAAAACTGCTTGAAAACTACCATAAAGTGGGAAAAAAATGCACCAACAAACGTCCTAAAACTTAGATTTTATAGTAACTCAAAGTGAGTCGAGACTGGACAACTTTACACGCTCTTTTCACAATTTTATTTATACCAAACATCCCAACCCGAGTGTGTCTCAGTAAGTGTTGAGGAGTAACAGATTACATGTACCGGCGTTACGTAATCAGAGTACAAATTATGAGTAACTGTATTCAGTTACAGTTACTGTTTCAGTGAGTGGTAAATGGATTACAGTTACTTTGTTGAAATAAATGGATTACATGGCGGTATTTTCCTGTTTTCACATTTTGGGCTATATCCCTTTTTTTTTTTTTGGTAATTCCACTCATTGCCGGACACTAAACCAGGACTAAAACCAAGTCTAAACCAGGACTAAATCAGGATTGAACCAGGACTGAACTAGATCCAAACCAGGACTAAAACCAGATCTGAACTAGATCTAAACCAGGTCTAAACCAGGTCTAAACTAGATCTAAACCAGGTCTAAACCAAGATTAAACCAGGACTAAAACCAGGTCTAAACAAGGACTAAAACCAGGTTTAAACTAGATCTAAACCACGACTAAAACCAGATCTGAACTAGATCTAAACCAGGTCTAAACCAGGTCTAAACCAGGTCTAAACTAGATCTAAACCAGGTCTAAACAAGGACTAAAACCAGGTTTAAACTAGATCTAAACCAGGTCTAAACCAGGACTAAAACCAGGTTTAAACTAGATCTAAACCAGGTCTAAACCAAGATTAAATCAGGACTAAAACCAGGTCTAAACTAGATCTAAACCAGGCCTAAACCAAGACTAAACCAGGACTAAACCAGGATTTAACCATGCTGCGTGGACGTGTCTCCTCCTCTTCTATCAATAATATTTTTAATACAGTTAAAGGAAAGTCTGAGCCTTTTATTGTCTTTTAGCAGATAAAACTAAATATCTTATGTGAAAATATCCTCGTCTTTGCTTCTCTACAGAAAATCAAGTAATCCAAAATATTCAGATTACATTACTCACTTTAAGTAATTTAATGGATTACATTACAAACTACATTTTGGGGTAATCTGTAATCTGTAGGGGAAAACATTTTAAAAGTAACCTTCCCAACACTGGTCCCAGTGTTAAATTTTTGTCAAATCTGGTCACCTTACCTTATACAACTTCTTTACAACATCTATTTTGGTGTATATGATGGGAAATACTTACGGCAAAGCAAAACCGTAGCGCTCAAAGTTCTCGCTGACCTCATATCTGTCACTCACTCGGCCCACAGCATGTTCAATCTGCAAAAACACACAAAATTGCAACAGGCGCATTAGCATTAGCATTAGCACGTCCACCATCTGTGACACTTTCTCCCCCTTCTATCATAACACGGCGTAGACAGCCCGAGAGAGCGCCGTGCACGTTTTAATACCGCTTTCCGATAATTGGAATTCGTCCCATATCATTACACAAATGGGCCGGTGGAGCGCGCTGGCAGCAGACCCCCGGCGGAGCTCCTGATCCTTTCTCAAAGCAAATGTCATAAACGTCACATAAATCGCCTTCGGAGTCACGTGACCGCCGTCATTTAAGTGTTTTATTTAAGCAACGTGGACGAGCCTATGGGAAGCTCAAGGACACGGAGGAGCCAGGGATCACGCCGGAAGGTCCGACCGTAAGCGCCGTGCAACCTTTTGGATAAGTGAGGATAACTGAGCTGTGGTATTTCATGTAGGACTGGGTGAAATAATGTGTCTGGAAGCTGTCTGAAAGCTTTAAAAGGCTAAACCAAATATGCCAAGACGTTAAAGGTAAATACTACAGGAAATGCCAAAATTATTCTCAGTGACGATCATCTTAACGCTCCTGTATGCAGTGTTGGGGAGTAACAGATTACATGTACCGGAGTTACGTAATCAGAGTACAAATTATGAGTAAATGTATTCAGTTACAGTTACTGTTTCCATGAGTGGTAATTGGATTACAGTTACTTTGTTGAAATAAATGGATTACACGCCGGTATTTTCCTGTTTTCACATTTTGGGCTATATCCCTTTTTTTTTTCTCCGGTAATTCCACTCATTGCCGGGCACTAAACCAGGTCTAAAGCAGGTCTACAGCAGGTCTAAAACCAGATCTAAACCAGGACTAAACCAGGACTAAACCAGGACTAAACTAGATCTAAACCAGGTCTAAAAACCAGGTCTAAAACCAGGAGGTCTAAACTAGGTCTAAACCAAGACTAAACCAGGACTAAACCAGGTCTAAAACCAGGTAGGACTAAACCAGGTCTAAAACAGGGTTTAACAGGACTAAATCATGCTGATGGACCGTGCTTCCTCTTCTTCCATCAATAATATTTTTAATTTGGTTCAGTAAAGTCTGGGCTTTTTATTTTCTTTTAACAAACAAAACTTCTTATGTGAAGATTTCCTCGTCTTTGCTTCTCTACAGAAAATCAAGTAATCCAAAGTATTCAGATTACGTTACTCACTTTAAGTAATTTAATGGATTATGTTACAAACTACATTTTGGGGTATGTAATCTGTAATCTGTAGGGGAATACATTTTAAAAGTCACCTTCCCAACACTGCCTATATGACACAAAATGGACTCTTGTGAGCTTTAAGCCACGTTATGATGCTGTTACCTCCTCAAAAACAGACTTGGAGTTGTGTTTGAGTAACTCTTTCTTATTAGTCTGTCTACATCTCCAAAGCTCAGAATGCTCTGTACCTTGTAATGTCATGTAGCGGTCGTTTTTCAAGTGAACAGCTACGTTTAGTTCAGTAGAGATCGGCAATGCCAGGGCTGAAATCATCCAAATGATTCTAATGAAGGTGTATGGAGTTTAAAAACACAGTGGAACAAAAGAAAACTCCAGGTACCATATTTTTCGGACTATAAGCCACGCATTTTTTCATGGTTTGGGTGTTTCCTGCGACTTATACTCCAGTGTGACTTATATATTAAAATGTTCACACTGAAGCTGTGAGAGGCTCTAGGCTTGTGTGTCAGTATCTGCTGCTCCTTTTACTCCTGTACCACTGCAGAAAGAGCCTCTGTCCTGTCTGTATCATGTCAGACGATCACACTATTACTTCTGTACTACTGAAAATTTTAACATTTGAACAAACTCATAAAGACGACCGAGAAGACTGAACGCAAATGCCCCCAAAAAGAAAATTAGAAAATCTGCAGCTGAAAAAGGTAATGTAGCAGCAGAAAGAAAGTTTGGAGTGAACAAGAAACTTGTGGCACAGGGAGGATGCACCATGCAACTTTCCTGCATGTCATTGGATAGATCGACAAAGCCTGGACTTCAGTGACACTGAAACCATCCTGTCGGGATTCAGAAAGGCCAGAATAATTCTAACTGGAACTGATGATGAGTCTGATAGACAGCTACACAGAAGAGGAAGAGGCTCTGTTTACCTCCAGAGGTCATGGAGTTGCTCAGAAGTGACACAGAGGATGAAGAATTCAATGGATTTAGTGATTTGGAGTGAGATGCAGAGTTTGTTAAACTTGTTCTGTTCTGTTGTTTATGTTATAGTTTATCTGAAGAACTGTTCATATGTGATGGTAACAGTCTGTTGTTCTCTCTTCTATTCTTATTACTATAACTTGACTTTCAAGATCAAATGTTGGTTTCTGGTCTCTGATTTTATTAAATAAATTTACCCCAAAAAGTGTGGCTTATAGTCTGGTGCAATTTATATACAGTGTTAGGGAGTAACAGATTACATGTACCGGAGTTACATAATCAGAGTACAAATTATGAGTAACTGTATTCAGTTACAGTTACTGTTTCAGTGAATGGTAATTGGATTACAGTTACTTTGTTAAAATAAATGGATTACAGGGTGGTATTTTTCTGTTTTCACATTTTGGGCTAAACCAGGACTAAACCAGGACTAAACCAGGACTAAACCAGGACTAAACCAGGACTAAACCAGGACTAAAAGCAGGACTAAAACAGGTCTAAACAATATGACACTTCCACTTAATTTAACAGTAGGTGGACATAATTGAAGGCAGCAGTGATCTTATATAAAAATCATTTCTCTATCAATAATATTTTTTAATATGTTTAAGTAAAGTCTGGGCTTTTTATTTTCTTTTAGCAGACAAAACAAAACATCTTATGTTAAGATCCTCGTCTTTGCTTCTCTACAGTAAACAAAAGTCTGTTCATGGAGACTTGGGCTCAACAACCAGTTTGAAGACAACAAACAAGAATGTTCAGGATGTGGTTGCTACATTCATGTAGTTTTAAAAAGCATGACAATATCAAGTAATCCAAAGTAATCAGATTTATGTTACTCACTTTAAGTAATTTAATGGATTACGTTACAAACTACATTTTTGGGGATGTAATCTGTAATCTGTAGGGGAATACATTTTAAAAGTCACCTTCCCAACACTGCTTATGTTTTTTTCTTCTTCATAGCACATGATATGAGTGTGATATGGGTGCTTTAAAGCCAGATCAGTGCTCCTCTATGGATTTACCACAATACATGACACTTAACATTGCACTAAAACACAGGTTTTATTAGCTGTATGTCCAGACGTGAGAGAGAATCCTGCTTCACTGTTGTCCGCATGATGTCACTGGGGGCACTTACCAAACTGCGTGTGCTGACCACTGCACCGGCCCCGCTTTTCAATTATGCCTGACCATAAAAACCCAAAGAGAAGTGCATTAAAAACATTTAACGTGCCCACTATTTTTCAGTCTGTCAGAGCGTAATGGCTGGGCACCTTTTTAGAAATTAGAATCCATTTTGTTCACTATAATAATTTGTCTGCTCAAGAACAATTAGGCCATTCCCCAAAGAGCTTTAATCAAAACAGAGGCTGTGTACGTCCAGAGAGATAAAACATACTACTGAAATGGGGTATATTTTAATGCACTCATCTGTTTTCATTAGCTCACATGCTTTTATTGATGTACAAATGCTCTGTGTAACTGCGGTAGTAAAGTCACTCCCCTCCTGCTTTATGAGATCATTTACGTGTGGTGTTTACTATACATTGTACCTGTTTCACACCACATATTTAAATATAGTGTTACTCATATACTAATGCTACAGGTAATCATGGACTAATTGAGCTTTAATAAAATGGTCATATTTTTATGCAGTATCTTTTCCACCTTCAAGACACTCAAAGCTCTTTACAGCAATTGACCCCTCACCCATACGGGCAAGGGTGTTAAGTGTCTTGCCCAAGGACACAATGACCATATTCATCTGTGGGAGCTGGAATCGCACCACCAACCTGTGGGTCAGTGGAAAAACACTACCAACTGAGTTACTGTCGCCCTAGTCTGATTCATCTTTGTGGAAACCGTCTGACCTCGCAGCATTAAGATTCATTTGCTCAACAGCAGGTGGGTACTTTTTTTATTTAACCAGTTGCTGCTATTTGGTCATGATGTAGCAGCTCTGCTTGTACAAGTCTCTCCATGGCCGAGCACCAAAGTACATCTGTGACATGTTAGTGTCATATGAACCATCTCACACTCTGAGGAGCTCAGGGACCGGCCTCCTGCTGGTGCCCAGAGTCACGACTAAACAAGGGGAGTCAGAGTTTCAGGTTCATGCAGCTAAAACCTGGAACAGTCTGAACATGTGAGACAGACTCTTCTGTGACGCTGTTTAAATCCAGGCTCAAAACATTTCTGTTTAACTGTGCAAATAACTGAAAGGTTTTCATTCCGCACTCTTCTCTCCAATTTATGTCTCTCTTTTTAAAATTTTAATCTTCATGATTATTTATGTTTTGATTTGTTTTTATTATGATTTTAATGTATTTCTTATTCTGTAAAGCACTTTGAATTACTTTGTGTACGAATTGTGCTATACAAATAAACTTGCCTTGCCTTGTATGTAATGCACTGCTAAGAAGGCTAACTGATATATTAAGCTAAGGAAGAAGGGCAATAACATCTTTCCCCTTCATAAAATTCTCCAGACATTCTCTTTGTTCCCACTTTGCCAACACAGAATGTCTGTCTTCATCTACATCCATCTCGACGCTTTGTTTACTGTTGTGCTGTTCCACAAAAGGGACCCAGACAGGCACTTGAGTTTGACGTCATGGCTTCACAGCTCTTCACTGATTGGTCGGTGACGGTCTACAACTTCCAGGGTCTACACCGTCTAGTGTATTCCAATTCCTGACATAGTCGCTGGAGAGAAATTAAATTGAGCAGAGGCACTAGGTGGTGCCAGCCTGGCTACTGTTGTCCCATATCAAATCAATAATAATATAACTTTTTACCATGTAA